TGCTCATGCTGGTGGTTCTACAGGCTGTGTTAGGTCAGCTGATCAGATAAGAGGAGCAGAGAGAAGTCTTTAAAAAAAGTTGGCACTGGGTGGATAGTCTTTTAATCTTGCAGTGCTTTCTATATATGCATCACAGTACATATCTGTAGGGATTAACCGATAACAGGTATTCTTTTGAACTATTCTGATAGATCTTTGAGCAATCTGCAATAGATCAGGAAGGATTTCTGTCTCCTACTTGTGGTAACAATAGCAGCAATAAAATATCTGCTTCTTCAGATCATGTAACTAAAATGAAGAAAAATTAAGGGAACATGAAATGGAATTCTACATGGCAAAACTGTGAACTCTGTTCAAATCCAGAAATTAACTGAATGCAGAATTCTTGACATTTAGGTATCCTTTTGCACAAGTCTTTAGTTGGTAGATCTGTAAGAAAAAATAAAGTAGATTTTTCTACTGCCTAGCCTGATCTGAGATCTGGAGGTTAATTATAGTTATCTTATTGCTATCTTCCATTAAAAAACACAGCTGCGGTTTGGAACAGTGAGCTTATACTAGTCTGATGCCTCTGTATAACAGCAGCACAAATGCACTAGCAGCCTGCTCTTCCAACACTCTTTCTGTAGTTCCCTCCAGTAACACAGCTCTCCTTTGAATATTGATATATCTGTTTAAAACATCTGGTGCACGTGCACCCCATGAAGAAACATCTAAACGTTTAGTTTCCCACTCCTCTGTTGGAAACCAAGACACAAATCCTCCCAATGAAAAAATAAGCAGAAGGAGTAATTTTCATGGCAGGGCTTTGCAGGGGAGTTAACAACTCTTATTGTGAGCGAGACAAAATCATTCAGCAGTAAATATGAAATGGTAACCAGAAGTTGCCAAAACTCTGCAGTGCAAGGTTTGAAAATACTTTAGAAAGTAAATGGCAGAGGGCATTCAAAAGAGGAACCTTTTTTTCAGGAACTGGCAAAATGATAAAATCATAAGCCAGCAAGCTGGGAAACTCAGCAGTGTGTTAGTGCTCTGTTCTAGTAGATCTTGCTTGACTTCTTCCACTGAACTCAAGTTTGTAGCTATTTACTCATTCCTGGCTTGGGTGCAATAAGCGGAGCGTTCACCATGGAGCACAGTCCTAGGATTTTTGCCTCCTGATTATTTTCTTGTTACCTTAGGAAGAGACATGCTGTTGACAGAGTTATTCAGGCAAATGCTCTTCAGTTTTCTGTTTTGGATGCTTTGGCTTGGCAGTTGTGCTAACAACTGAGTTTGAGAACCATCCTTTAGCAAGTGAAGCTGTCCTTTGGTGACAGGGTTAGCTGGTGGAGTGAAAAAAGGCTGTAAGAACTTTGCTTTAGTGATTCCTTTTGGCAAGAGGAACTGAACAGCACGCAAGAGCATGATGCTGATGAATACTGTAAAACGTTTCTATGAGTAGAATTTATGGCATGCAAACACAGTTAACTCTGGAAAGTATAAATCAGTCAGCTGCTGCTATCCACAAAGCTGTGATGGGCAGACCTTTGGGGCTGCTCAAGCAGCGCTTGTTGCCTCTTGGCTTTTGAAAGCATGGGTAAAATACGGCCGTGAAAGCCTTCAAGAATACATGGGTACAGTTCTTGATGGGTTCCCTATTCCTAAATCGAGGGCTTGCATAGTTTTTATGCACCTTCCTGCCTAGGCTGAATACAAAGTCCTCTATTGGTGTGGAAAAGCAACGATAATGTTGATGTCAAGAAAAAGATCCATGTAATTCTAGATCTGTAGTTCTGCTAGACATGCAGGTGACAAATACCATCTGCAGCAGGTATAGCACATGGTTCAGTCTTGTTAAAGAACATAGAGGAAACTCACATTAGAGGTTACAACACTCCCCAGTAGAAATTGGGTCATTTTTCTAACGGTTGCAGCCAGTATTTCTGCATTGCTTCAGACTTGAACAACCTTTTTAAATTTCATCAAGCAGAAGAGAAACAGAGCTGTGCTGTGGTATGTCTGCCAGTTTAGAGGTTGAGGGTTTTTTTTTTAAAGTGTTAAACAAAATAGCTGGTGGAGCATAATGAAGAGAGTGCTGCTTCCATTTGAGCTGTGAAATGCTACAGAGCCATGTGAAGAGCTGGTAGATTCACACTGCAGTCTTGGCTTCTACCCAGACAAATTTAGGAAGAGCAGATGGGGAAGGGGTGGTGTTCAGAGCCCTGCTTTCTCCTCTGCTATAGTAACTGCTTGTCAACGAGGCTAGCTGTTTCTTTTCGATCCTTTTAAAATGGCATATGGTCTGGACATCTATTATTAATAATAGGTATTATTGATTAAATCAACTGGTGGCAGCTAAGGGGCACGTAGCATGAGCTCCTAGTTTGATGAAACAAGCAGGGGTCATGTGGAGATCATGACAATGTATAATAGGACCTTTTTAGTTGCACTGTATGGACACAACAGAAAACACCAAAACACCAAAGCATTTTATCTGGTGGCTCTTGACTTTTTTTAGCGATAGTTTTTGGGTTACAGGGATTAAGTCTCTGTTAAGTACTGACTGGGGCCTTAAGTTTGCCAAGCTGTATTCCAATCACAGAAAAACCACTGCCTTAGAAACTTTCCAGAAGCTTGAAGGGTTGTATCTCAGGTAGAGGACAGCTTTTTAAAATACATCTATTCCCAAAGGGAATTAGCCACAGTATTCTGCTGTAGCAAAAACAACAAGAATTCCTGTGGCAGTTTGCTTCTCACTGACCTTTGACTATTGTCTGATCTTTGTGGACAGAATGATCTTTTTGCTGAGTAGATAAAACTGCACAGTGTAGAAGGGCAAGGTTGGCAAGGGATGGTGCATTGTGTTTCAACTTAAGCAGAAAACTGAACTCTTCCTGGTAGACCTGATATTATATGACGCAGTCCTGCCTGTTACAGGTGATACCTAGAGGACCTTAAAATGCAGCCTATGGGTTGCTCAAACCACCAGCATCTGTTAACCTGACTGCAAGCTATTACTGTATTTTTCTGTGTATACAACCCCCCCAATGTATAAGACGACCCCCTAATTTTTACTCTTGCCAGAGGCATAGGAGCAGTCATTGGGCACTAGCGAGAGGCGGCCAAGCATGGCTGCTTCTTTGCCTCCGTCTCTGCCTTCTCCAGCACCACTTACGG